CCGCGGCCCCCGGCTGCAGCTGCAAGGCCGCTCGGCAGGGCGCGGGGGTCGCTGGCCGGCCTTGGTCAGCAGCAACAGCAGCAACAGCAGCAGGAGTAGCGCTCTGGGGAGGGGGGCTCGCTTCTCAGGGTGCGCTCCGTGGCCACCCCCTTCACGGGGGGTCGTGGCCGCCCCCCAGCCCTGGCACACTCGGCTCGCTCCAGCGAGTCTCCCCTGGCGGGGAGGGGACCTGCACTTGGGGCGCTCTCCCGGGGCGCACGGTCTCCTGCTCCTTCTCCTGTCCTCGGGCGAGCACGGATTCTGCCCGGCCGCAGGGCTCAGTCCACCTGCTAAGTGAAGGTTTCACGAGAGACAACAAAGAAAGAAGCTGTTCCTTTCTTCCTCAGCCAAGTTATTGGCGACCAGCAACCCGCCGGCTCCTTCCCTTGTCCGCTGTATTCTTTTCTCCTCAGGAACACAATTCACTCATTTTCCCTTAGAGTAGTAAAACTTTTTTCGTCCTTGAAGGCGTGGTGATGCTGGCTGGTCGCGTGTGCGGAGAGCGGAGGCTGGCTCCTGCTCTCCCCCTCTGGTCCTCTCGTTTCAAGTTTTGTTCTGTCCTAGGAAAACTTCTTGCGATGGTGCATTTCTCTGAAGTTGCTATTGCCGGAGCTCTTGGTTGCCTTCGAAACAAGAGTCCTTTTTCATTCTCTTCGCAACAGTCACAGTCTGATGCGACATCTTTCCTTTTGGGTAGAAATTAGGAAACAAGTATAACAAGGAAAAAATTGAACAGGAAAAAAATGATGTCGAATTGTTCTGTTACCTTGTTGCTGATGGTTGGGATTGGTGTATTATTTTTTTCCCAGCAGTTGTCTGGAGAAGGAGGAGGAAGAAGAGTGCATTGGTGGAGGTGGAGGTGTGTGTGTGCATATAGGGGATCCTTGATACACAACCAACTCCTGTGGGCACGTTGCACCGCTCGTAGAGTGCACCGACGGCGGGCGCGGGCGCTGGCCGTGCTGGAGCAGAGTTGCAGCAGGAGCTCGCTCTGCGCCCCCGTTCGCGCTCTCTTTCCCTCTCTCACTTTCACTGTCCCTCCCTCTCTCTCTCTCACTCACTCTCCCCCTCTCTCTCTCTTTTTCGGGCGCCCGCTCTAGCTCCGATCTGACAGTTCGCTCTCTGTCCCTCCCTCTCAGAGCAGGGACTGTCGAATGTTTACCCTCCGCCGCAAGCGCGCACCCACCACCACACTTTCCCAAATACAAGGAAGTCGAGCACCAGGGCCCCCGCTGATTGGCTACCCGCTGGGTGATTGGCAGGCCCAGAATGACTGGCTCAGGACGCGCGGCCCCCCTTCCGGCCGTTCCGATTGGTTGCTTTTTAATTTAGGCAGAGCGTCGTAGAAGCTGGAAATCTGTCGTCCCCCCCGACTCCCTCCCCCTCTCCACTTTCCCCTCCCCGCCCCTCCCCCGCCACCCCCTCCGCCACATCTTAACTCTTAGTGTCCGGCCCAGACGTTGGCGTTCCCTCAGTGGCTCTGGGCGATTGTAATAAGTCTGGGAGGAGGGAAGAAAGGGATAGAAAAGGAAGGGAGGGACGGGCTGGGGGTGAGGAGGGGGCGAATCAGAAGGAAAATGAAAAGAGAAACAGGTAAAATAGCAAAGTACCCAACCCACCTAGTACTGCGTTGCATTGCCCCCTCCCCCGCCAGAGATTTGTAAATCGCGCGGCGCGGATGTACCATTCAAGCTAATACCTATAGACAGATGGGTCCCCAGTGGTTTCAAAGTTTCCTCTTTCCTTCACCAGCCGGCCCCCATCTCTGTCTCGGCGGGGGTCGGAAGGGGGGGTTCACATCTCCAAGAGCTCAGGTCGCGGCCACGGTCCTTGGAAATCCGCCACTGCAACTTTCTGCAGCCGCTGCGCGCCGGTGGCGGCCCTCTTTGTTTAAGTTCTCGGATGCCATCATCTGAGAGACCTGCAGCCGGTACCGGCGCGGTGCCCGCGCGTGCGAGACGGACGGCTCGCTGCCGCTGCTCGCTCTCTTCCCCCACCCCCTCTCTCCCTCTTTCGCTCTCCCTCCCTTCCTCCTTCCTCCCTCCTTCCTCAGGGATTCATGCAAGTAACGTGCGTGCCCTTGTGAGTTTGGAGGGTGCAGGTCAGCGGAGCCCTGCGATGTTTTTGAAAAGCAATCACTCCGACCTTTCCCCATAGATTCATCGTAAGTGTATTCGACCCAATGGCTTGAGGAATTCCCGCGGCAGCAGGAGCCGGCAGAAGGAATCGGGATACACTAGCCGCGCCCTCTGTTGCTGCACCGCTTCCTTCTCTGTGTGTGTACGTGTGTGCGTGTGTGTATAATTTCAGTGTGGTTGTTATTAGTGGTGGGGTTTTGCTCCCTCGCTATTCTTAGGCACGATGGTGCTTTTTTTTTTATTCTTTCTTTTCTGTCTCAGAAGGGTTTGCGCCGTGGATAAGGCTGGCGGCGACAAATGCTTTCTCAGCTCCAGCCCGGCTGAAAGAGTTAAGGAGGACGGGAGGGGGAGTGCGCCGGGGAGGCGAGAGAAGCGGGGGTGGGGTGGGGTGGGGGGAAGCGGCCAAGCGGAAACGCTGCACAGAGGAACCTCAGCGAACCAAGAAAAAAGAGAAAGTGGCAACGAAAACAAGGGCAAATTGAACCCTCCTCGGGGATTTCCAATGAACTAACCCAACTCGGACATTCAATAAATACATGGTTCCTAATGAGTGTGCGTTGTGTGTGTGCACCCCGCACCCTCAGCTGCTGGTGCGCCAGCCCTGCACCCGCAGCCGCCCGCCCGCCTGCCCCTGTGTCTGGCGGTCCCGAGCCTGAGCAGCGGCCCAGGGCGTAGATGTGGAGCTGCTAGTGTGTTCCGAATAAAATGCAGACGGGCCTTCTGCCCTTTTCTCCCGGTGCAGCGCGCAGTTAGGTGAACTCAGTGAAAGCCGGAGCTCTCCAGCCCATCCGCAGCTACGCACCCTTGGCGTGATCTGAAGATTAACAGTAGACGCATAGAATTAATGTAGGATCTTGTCCAGCCCCTGCTTGCCGGGTGAGATACCATCGTAGGTAGGTTTTAGTAAAGCTCTTATTGCCAAGGTATAGATCTGAAAGGCAGTGGTAACCAAACCCCAAACAGAACGGATTTTTTTCCCTCTGGGTCCCCCAAAGGTTCCTTTTTATATTTATGTATGCGTATATGTATATATAAAAGATGGAACACAGATTTCATTGAATAAATCTGAGATCTCCAGGTGCAGACGTTTGAATAGTCGGTGCCAGCACCCCGTGTTTTCCTTTCCTGCCGATTTTGCTTGGATCCGGCTCAAAAACCGAGAGAGTCTCGTGGTTTTGTTTACACTGAATGGGGAGGATAGGAACAGAGCCATGGGGCCGCCTTTCATTAATATACAGTGAGGATTTTGTCTAAATTACTGCTATGAATTTCACAGTACACGCTTTCAAAAGCAGTCTCAGGTGGCCTGATGAAACGTGATAGCGCCTCTGCAAACAGATCCACTTTCTTTCTTTCTTTTCAAGGAGGGTGTGTGTGCGTATGGGAAGCCCCCCAAAACGCTGTGCTCCTCGATAACAGAAATACACTTCTGTTCCGAGGTCTGTCCCCTTGTTCCTCCCCCCTTTCATCGTACTTAGTTCTCAAATCGCTCGCGCCCCCCCCCACGCTGCCCCACCCCATCCGCCCCCCTCCCTTTGCCGAGTGTGATTGTTTTGTCTGGAAAAAAAAATCCAAAGTATATAACAAGGGGAGAACAGTTAGTGCTGATTTTCATTTGCATACATTTTCATATATTTTGGTGAAAATAATAGACTAGTGGAGAGCTGGGCTTAGAGGCGTCAGTGTAAAAGGGAAGGCTAAGGATGCGTCGGTTCTGGAGAGTTGAGAATATGCCTTCCCCTCCGCCCCCACCCTAGTCCCCTTATTTAAAAAAAAAATAAAACAACTTCTTTTATTTAAAAATCTAACCCTGGAAGTTTGCTCGGTAAGTGTTTTTCATTTTCTTTCCCTGCTTTCTCGTCTCTTTCCCCTCTTTTCTGGCTTATTTATTTATGTTCTTGTA